GGGGGAGGGGGGGGGGGGCCCCGGACCCATGCATTATTAACTTCATAATTTACTAGTTAACAAAGTGACATTGTTTAATTAAATTAATTTACAATATTCATTTTTGAGTCGTGACTGGTTAGTTACAATTTAGGTAGACTGAAAAGCTGTGCCTTGGGTGCAAGCTCGTTGAGAAATACAGTAGAATTTGTCAGTATAAAATAGGAAGGATTAGGTAAATATGGAGTTTTGAAATGACTTAGTGGAAATTACAAAGAAATGTATGGTGTGAAATGACTTAGTTAGGCAAGGGATTTAAGTGGTGTGGATTTGAGAAGTTTGGATTCCATCGTGGGAAAGTAAGCAACGATGTTTGTTTGTAATTACTCCACCTTTTTCTCAACGAGTACTTGTAATTTTCTTGAGGGGAAATTTAGTTTTAAAAAATGTTATTTTACTATAAACTACGAAAACATGAGTTACTTTTATAGAATGTATTTGACTTATATTAATATGACATGTATTATAATCTAATTAGGATCGGCTGGTTTCGTTACTGTACATAGACACAATATGTAGAATTTTATTAATACCCGATTCAGTTTGATTTTCATTAGAATCAAACCAAATGGATCGTGCTCACTCTTTCATCATATAAAAGTTATAATTTTGATATCTAAATCCGAAATTTTACTATTACGTATAAATTGATGAGTTTGGTCCGATTCTCATAAACGTGGGACAAAATAGGCCTAGTCACCACTAAAGGAAAAACAATAAAAAAAAAAATCATACGACACTAATAAAGTAAAAAGTTGGTGTCTCGATATGGATGGTGATTAAAGTTAGGAACCTTTCGCAGTTACCATTCTGTCAAATATTCATTGAGAAGACATAGAAAGACAGTTGCATTTTAACGGCGAAGCCACATTTTGTAATTTTAGAATGAATTCAAATTTCAAAGCACCTAATTTTCTTTTAGTCACCCCATTTATATTTTTCTTTATGCATAAATGTTCAATTACTTTTACATCTTCTTGGTGGTTGGAAATAAATGAGTTAAATTAAAATAAAGTCGGGTTACATGTAGCACATAACTCTCATGTACACGTGTTATAATTGATTAGGTGAAAACAAATAATTTTTAATCAAAGTCGGGCGTTGGTCATTTAGAAATTTCACAATGTGACAAATTCACCTTCTTCAAAAATGATATTTTTACGAAACTTGAAAACGGATAATTACTTGCTCCAATTCCAAAAAATCCCTCTAAACCTATGTACTGTAGACAATTTAGTTTTGTACTTCTTACTGTAATTATGTCGGAGATTTTGTGAAGTTACAAGTAAAATTGAAGTATTGTAGTCGAACCCCCAAAATAGAAATAATATTGCAATTTTTCCTAACAATCTGAATATAAAAATGAATAGACGAATGATTATAAAATAGAAAATGACTTCTTCAACAAAATTTCAAACGAAGCAATCTACTCTAGTCTTTAAGTATTATGAAATAGCTTTAAAAAATTGAGATAAACTAAAAATTTTGAATTTTATATTCTTTAAATTAACCCATTTATTAGAGGAAATTTTAACAATTGAATGCAAATTAGTTTTCATTTAAATACCAATATGAATGTGAATATTTCAATGGTGATGGCATTGCCAACGTAGCCACCTTTTCGTTTCCAAATTTCATTTCCTGGATATGGACACGCGTCAGTCAAGCATTTTCAAAAGTCAACTGGAGAATTGATATTTTGCAGCTGGAACAAAACAAACCGTGAACCGGTTGGAATAGTTTAAAGTATGAAAGCATGCTACCATTTGTCCACGTGTAAAGATCCGAATGTTTATGCGACTCGGTGGACTCCATTGAAGCGTTATCATCGTCGTGCATACTCAGCATCCAATATTTGTGTTCAACGGTATAACGGACAAGATTCTACTTTGGTCTTATTCGTCCAAGTTTATCGAGCGGACGAGATCGTGTTGAATAGCATAATTAAATAATATTTCTACTTATTTATTTATTAATATTTAGTACTATTCGATGGACTTTACAAAACAGAGAGATATTTTGTGACAAAGCATATTAATATGTGATGCTACCAAAAATCGTATCTGTTGATTTCCGAACTTGACGACTGAGACTTTTGGTAGCATCGGTATGTTTTGAAAGTATGTTAGTATGTGATGCTACCAAAAATCGTACATGTTGATTTTCGAACTTGAAGACTGAGACTTTTGGTAGCATCGATATGTTTTGAAAGTATGTTAGTATGTGATGCTACCAAAAGTCGTTCTTGTTGATTTTCGAGTTTGACGACTCAGACTTTTGGTAGCATCGGTATGTTTTGAAGGTACGAGCTTGACGACTGAGACTTTTGGTAGCATCAGTATGTTTTGAAAGTGTTTTTAAATGATTAGAATTATAAGTAAATATAAATGACGAGTGAATAAATGTATTGTATTTGTAAATTTCTCGAAATATATGAATAAATAGTTGAGTATTTATTAGTACGAGTGGCGTATAAATTATGCCAGTGTGCTGTCGGGTGTGGAGTGATAAAATATTTGTATAAAATTCAAATTAACTATAATCATTCGGAAGAGTATTCTTTTGCGAAGTCCATAAATTATGGAAGTAATTTCAAGTCACGCGCTGATTCTTCCTCTTCTCCTCCTTTCCTTTTGTCAAATTCTATATGCCATGTTTTGTTTTATACTGGTATGTTAGGGGTATCCCCACCGCTATCAAATTTTCCTTTTTTATTAGGAGAACTGAGGTAGAATTATGTAATCTTTAAAAAGTTGAGTGATGTCTCTAAAATTATGTAACGTAGAGCGAATGTCTCTATAATTTACCATTTTCCCGTTTGGAATTTTCCATCCCGTTCTATACAATTCTGAAAAATTTTCTCGTTTAAGAAACTATATTTGATCCATTTAGTTAACGGATTATCGGATTCGGATCTTGATCGGGTTATCGGATTGAGACCCTAAATCCATCTCCCATTAATTTTATCGATTCAGATCGGATTCGGATCAAAATTCAATCCATTGACAGCCTTACTAATTACACAAAACGTTTCCTACATTCTTCATTTCTTTTAGTTAAACTTATTTGCATAAAAAAACTTGTTTCATCGAATTAATTGAATAAATATTTAAAAATTAGCATCCAATACTTATCTGACAAACTCTACCTTTTTCACGATAAATAGACAATATTTTGTAATGGCACAATTCATGAAAACGTGAGTTTTGTTTCTATGATATACAAGGGTAGAATCAATTTATAAAAGCATCCTTTCTAAATTTTGTTGTTTGTATTTGAAAAACAACATAAATGGAACAATTGGTAAAAAGTACATTACGCTAATCACAAGTCTATTGACCCATAAATGGAAAAATTTCGTGACGTTAGATGGACAACTCACAAATCTTATTATTCTTTTCATGATAATCTTGCAGCATTTGTAATGGGACAAATTCATAAAACGTGACATCTAGTCCGTACTAATTAATGCTTGATAAAATCTTGCCCTCGAGCCTCCACATTTGCCCGAGACACAAAGCTTTTATTAGATAACCTCGAAAAAATAAAGTAGAATGCACAAATCACTACTAAAATATGAACTCGACAAATCTTTTGTACTCTTTTTATCAATTCATGTTGCACGTGACATACCGTGCACACACGCCTAGTTACGTAATCGGCCAATACTAGTATCGATAACAACCAATTAATAAGCTCTATTTTTTTCACTATTATTATATTTAGCTGGACAAATTTGTACCAATGTGATATTTTTTTTCTAATATGTTTGAAAAAACAAGGTAAACACACCCACATAGTGAACTAATTGTAAAATAGAATGTACATTACTAAACTAAATAGGTACCCAATGAATCACATTACTAAATTTTTGGAATAGTAATTGATGAGAGAATGTGTGGTGGAAAAGTGATGAAAAATTTTAGATTTGTGTGTATATTGTAATATTATTTTATTTGAAAAATGTGTGGTTGAAATGAAAAAAGAAAAAAAATGAGAAAGAGAATAGCCCGAATGGGTGCCAAACAGGGGTTAAATTTAAAAAATGTGCCAAACGGGGGCTGAAATCCGTTACTGGCCCAATAGGTTATTTTCTCCTAACAACAAACTTAATTGGATATTTTGAAAATAATTTAAATATTCTGGGCTATGATTGGAAAATATAGAATTGGATATGTGGGTTGGGCATCATTAGTTAGAATACAACAGTACAACTTGGTCAGTTACAACACTTTAGCCACCTTTAATACAATGTATGTGTTGAATTCACGTGACGACACTGCGCGTGATTATCGTGTCGCATTGGTCAAAACCCACTCAAACCTGACCGTCGATTTAACCTTGAACTTTTAAAAAGACCAAGATTCAACTCATCCAACGGTCATAATTAGTTACACGCGATCAGCATTGTTGTCGTAAAAGAAACAATTTTCTAAACCTTGATTTTCATTATTTTTAAAATATATTTTTCACTATTTTTTTGGCCCACAAATTTCTTAATAAAATAATATTATACACAAATTTAATTTTTTTTAAATTTTTAATCACACATTCTTCATTAATCCACTATTGATGAGCTCAACCGCTCTCCAATTAACAAAACGCACACAAAAAAGCCACAAAGCCGGTGGATTTCTTTGCCTCCACCCCACCCACCGGCCCCTCTCGCTATCTCTATGTGTGTGTATTACGTGTGCACGTCTCTCTCTCTAAAAACAGCTCTTTCTTATAATTATACAAGATATCAATCCAATAGCTTAAAATTGAAAATCTCTTTCATCCACCCGGCCCCTCTTCTCCTGCACTCTCTCTCTCTCTCTCTCTCTTTCTCTCTCTTTAAATATGTTTTTCAGTTCTAAATGCTGATTTTTTGAAGGAATCAGACATATCTTAGGTGAAAGTATACAAGTTGTAATTGAAATATTCCATTTCTCTAGCATAAAAATGTCTTCTGGATTCTCCGGTGGAGGTTCCGACTTCTTCACCGCCGGCGGGAGACCCATCATGAACAACCTTAACCCACAACAGCAAGTTTCTTACAGGTCCACTCTCGCCGGGATTCTACCCGATCCGGCTTCTCAGATCATGCCTTCCCGACGACCGGATTTGATAGGAAAACGATCTCTGGCAGTTTTTCAACAGCAAAGCCTTCTTCAACAGCAACAGATGCATAATCAAAACGGGTTGGGGTTTTATCTGCGGAACGTGAAGCCCAGACCAAATTATCAACATGCATCTCCGGTATCTCCTTTATCTCTTGTAGATTTCTCGCCAGTTTCCTCCATTTCAACAGAAGTCGCCGCAATTTCGAATTCCTCGGCGGTAAATGGAAACCCGCAGTATGGAGTTCCAATTCTTCATCAACTCAGACCACAAAATATGAATAATGTTCCAATGGGTTCTTCGTTCCCGAATCTAGTTCAGAACGGAGCGGACTCGGGTGTAAATTCGGGTACAGTTTCTGGTCAGGAGTGCTTATCGAAGCAAGAGTCGGAGAAGAAGCTGATGAATCATCGGTTACAGGAGCTGGAGAAACAGCTATTGTGCGACGAAGATGAATGCGAAGCGGTGTCTGTGGTGACCAACAGTGAGTGGTCTGATACGATCCAAAATCTGATAAGCCCAACCCAGAAGCCAATTTCGCCATCTCCGACTTCTTCTTCCTCGTCATGTGCATCCACTTCTGCTTCTCCGCCGCTGCCTTGCCCCAAGCAGAGCATGATCGACGCCTCAGTTGCTATCTCCGAAGGGAAGACAGAAATTGCATTGGAAATTCTCACGCGCCACCGTCAAGTGGCCTACGCAACAGGCACTTCTGAACAGAGGCTCGCCGCCTATTTAGCCTCCGCTTTGAAGTCGCGCGTGAATCCCTCCAATAATCAATTGGCGGTGTCGGAGCTGTACACTAATGAACATGCTATCACGACTCAAATGTTGTACAATGTTTCGCCGTGTTTTAAGCTCGGATTCATGGCAGCAAACCTTGCCATCCTCGAAGCTACCTCGGATCAGTCATTTAACAAGCTTCATGTCGTGGATTTTGATATTGGGCAAGGTAGGCAGTATGAGCATTTACTTCATGCTCTCGCCGCCAAAAATGGCGGAAAAAAGGCGGCGGTTTTGAAGATCACAGCCTTCACGGATTTTATGAGCGGCGGCGAAGAGAAGCTGAAGATAGTTGGAGAGGAACTTAAAGTATTAGCGAGTAAAATTGGTGTTTGCTTCAGTTTCTGCATGATGAATTCGAATTTTCGTGAGTTGACACGGGAGAAACTCGCCGTGGACTCTGATGAAGCTTTGGCTGTGAATTTTGCGTTTAAACTTTTTAAGTTGCCGGACGAGAGTGTGACGACGGAGAATTTGCGCGATGACCTGCTCCGTCGGGTTAAAGGATTGTCGCCAACTGTGGTGACGGTGGTGGAGCAGGAAATGAACGCCAACACCGCGCCGCTGGTGGCGCGTGTCAAGGAGGCCTGCGAGTATTACGGTGCATTGTTTGACTCGTTGGACGCGACAGTTTCCAGGGATAACTCAGACAGAGTCAGAATCGAGGAGGGACTGGGTCGAAAGATGTGCAACTCGGTTGCGTGCGAAGGCAGAGATCGTGTTGACAGATGCGAGGTGTTTGGCAAGTGGCGGGCCCGGCTGAGCATGGCCGGGTTTCAATCCAGACCCGTGAGTCCACACGTTGCGGACTCACTCCGATCCAAACTCAATTCAGGGATACGTGGCAATCCAGGCTTCACCGTGAATGAACTTTGTGGCGGCATCTGCTTTGGTTGGATGGGACGAACACTCACCGTCGCATCGGCTTGGCGTTAATTACTTATTTTTGAAAAAAAAAAGTACTTAATTTTTTAATTAACTATTATTATTGTTGTATTAGTGTTTCTTTAACTTTTTAATCGAAAAAATGGGTATGAGAAATAATCAAAAGTATTTGGCATTTGCTGACTTGTTTGGATTGTTTTGCTATGAACAATGTTTGATGTACAATGATTTTGACGTCATTGACAACATGACACATGACATGTTATCATTTGATAGTTTAAAAAACAATTCGTTATTAATAATGTTGTACAAAAACATTGTACAAATAACGTAATTATGTTGTACAGTCTCAAATAGTGTCCATTTGATACACACGATTTTAACATAATGGGAAAAAAATTATCTCAACAAACACGGCCTAAGTGTCGGGTGTGGGGTGAGGGGTCCACTGGTTAGATTATATTTTGGTTTATGGTTGGTTTGGTTTGTTAGTTCTAGTTGGGTGGGAATTCTTGTGTACTTAGCATTGGACACATTATTCTATTTTGTTGAAGTAAATTCTTTTGTTATTTATCCAAGGTATCGACAAAAGATAATATGGTAAACGACATTTTATCTTTCTTATTTACATTCTAAGATTGACTACTAGATAATTTTTTTCATCAAACACTCATAGGTTACAATTTTTGTAAATTTTATCTCTTATATTGTACAATAACGTGTCAATGTTATAAAAGATTGCCCTATTATGTTAAGGATCGAGCTACTCTGTCAGACCTGTAAAATGCCTGACAGAGACAGGCCTGATAGAGCAGAATTATTCTTATGTTAAAAGTAAATTATTTTGTTATTTATTGAAGACGACGACAAAAAAATTTATGTTAAAATCACATTTGAGTGTTTTTATTTTCTTTAGCACTATCAATTGCCAACTAATCAATTTTATCAAACACGCTATTGGAATTTTTTTGGTAGGCTAACAGCACAATGTTGAAGAAATATAAGTTAAATGCTTGTGTAATACTCTTTAATATCATACTATAAACGTGTCATTGTCAAACACAAAGTTAGAATTTGTTCGTAAACTAGACTACATTGCGTTGCATAAGTTATTTAAAAATCTTCGTGTCATTTTGTCCAGAATAAACGTATTGTTATCAATCTCGATGTTCGAGTTTGATTGTTAGATTGTTTTCAACGATAATAAATTATGTTAAAACTTGTTGGTAATGTTCGATTTAGTGTTAACAAACTAGTATGAATTAGTGGTTGGTTGGCTCGAAAGAATGCACCCATGACCTAATAATGGGTTTCATTATACCAGACTTGGCCCCATTGGACCTAATGATATTTCAGTAAATCATAATTGTTTTCTTTAAAATTTTACATTGATTTTTTTTTTCCTTTCTCATTTTAAGCCAACTTTTTTCTTTGATTTTTTTTTATTAAATACCAACATTTATAACAATAGCTCCAAAGTAAAATTAATTCTTGCATTATTTATCACGACTCACTTTTCTTACTTGCAAATTAATCATAATCATATCAAAAGTAGACCTTTATTTAACATATCGTGACTTTTGCTAACCATTATTTACGATTCCTCGAGAAATATTCTACGAGTTAATACTCATTAATTAAAGATGTAATTGAATCATCATTAGCTTAGAAGTTTAGTTATAAACAAGTTCAGCTACAATAAATAATAAGTTGTAGTTTCAACTGAACTGACAGTCGCAGTGTGAGAATTCGATTCCTACCCTTACAAGGTATGAAATTGGACTATTTGTGGGCATCAGTATGACATCTCTTGTACCCGGGCCGGTTGAGGCAAATTTTGCGATTTACCTCCATTACAATGCTTTAGGTTGGGGGGGGGGGGGGGGGGTTGTAAAATATATCTTTTAGTTAAAAGTAATTGTCAAAATAATCCAAACATAATTAGAACCAAAAAAATTACTTGTGTACCTAACAAAAAATCTGATAGTTTGCTTTTGCTGTGATTGACTAGACTACTGGAGCGAGCAATGAGGGCAATCAATCCAGCATGATAATAGATGTGGAATTTAATAATAATAATATAAAATCAGTATATTTCTAATATACAAATTAGAGTCCGTTAGTTTTGGATTAAAATCTAATTTTAATCGAAGTCGAAGTCGAAGTCAAAGTCAAAGTCAAACAATCAATATTAACCACATCTTTCATGGGTTCTGCAACTTTTCAATCATACATTTCAAAAATTTCTATCACGATTTATTAGAAATCTAATTTCAATTCCCACCAAACACTCTCTAAGAAAATAATTTTTTTTTTTTTAATCAATTATTGGCATAATTGACGCGGCATCATTCACGTAGTTGTCATTCCGAATTAATCATATAAAGCTATGGACCCAATTTTGCAAAATGAACTCACAATTATTCGTGCCACTGTGCCAGTGGTCATCAATTGTTTGATTAAGCTTAAAAATAAGTAAAATATTTTCCTTAAATGTAAAAATAGTAAAAAGCTAAAAAATGTTTGGCAAAAAATGACTTCTGTAAGTGTAAGTTGACTATATTTAAGAATAAATAAAATTTATTTTTTAAAAAAAGTAAATAAAGACTTACTTTCATATTTTATCAAAAAATGTATTTAAAAAACTTTCAAAAAAAGCTTAAATATAAATAAAATTTACTTAAAAGTAACTTTACATGCTTAGTCAAGCAAATCATAAGCGAGAGGATATGATTAAATGCACAAGAACAAATTATAGATGAGCAATGATGAAGACATTAATAGCCTTGTCAAGTGGAAATCTTGAAATGGTTAGGGGTATAGTTTGTTGGTGCAGGCTTTAGGTATGTGTGGTGAAATGGTTGTTAAATTATAGAACCGACAAGAGCAAAGTTTAATTCGTAGGAGCGTGATTAAATATTATAATTATAGGGTTGAAAATGTAGTATGTAAACTACAAACCAAAAAAACCAAAAAATAAAACCTAGAAGGGAAGAAGAAGAAAAGAATAATCCGAGGCAAGTGAATTACACTATTTGTTTAAGACAAAATTGCCCAACAACGATGCTAACGGTTCACGACACTTGTTTTCCAAAATACAATGAATTCAACTTGTGGTAGAAGCACTTCAAACCACATGCAGTAACGAACTTAGGACTAATTTTTCTCTCTACACGAAAAAAGGGTATTAGAATAATTTTTGGAGAGTATTTTGCAAGAATTTTTGATATTATGCTCAATGCAAATGATACGGGATACAAAATGGACGTTCAAAGAGTCTTTTATATAGAAGATGAAATATTGTGAGTGAAATGTCGTGCCCCAAATTTTGCAACTTTTGCCAAAGATAACAGCATTCACTATCGCTAGCATGTCGCTCGAGCGACAGTGACATCGTGTATCCTCTTTTCTATCCAATTTTGGACCCAAATTTCTCATTCATATGGAATTGATTTTGAGATACCAAATATATCACGACGATCTATTAGACAAGCGGAACAAGTTAGTCTACTTATATTCATAACTTGACTATCGGATCAAGTCCGAATACTTGATCGAAGTTGACACAAAAGTGACTTTCACATATTCATTCTCTAAACCAAATTCCAATATAGTTATAACAATTAATGATTTACATAATTGATTTATTTTTTATTTTTTTCAAAAAAAAAATGTTTCAGAAAGTTGGCAACAGATATATTTGGCAAAAATTGAAGCAGCAAAGTAAATAACTTTAATGAGCGTTGGAAGGGAGAAATGCTGGATATTAATTGACAATTTAAAGGAAATAAATTTGTCGGGTAGACATTTACGATATAAGGTGGGAACTTATTGAACTTTTAGGTCATTGAGTGAAAAAAAAATTAAGGATCATCCTATATGTATCAAATTTTTTTACTTAATCCCTTACCAACTACTCACAATAGGGGTTGGGGGACCACATCTTGAAATTTTTTTATTCATGCGGGGCAGCGTGCATGTGAGAGGGGGTAAACAATTCGGTACATTAAATTATGTACAAATATCTTTACGTAAAAATTAATGGGTCTTGGCCTTCAAATCGAGATATTTAGATTCTTGATCGTTCATTTTATATTGAAAATTATTCGAGTTCCATATTCCTTGCAAGTGACATTAGAATATAGATTTGGGCGGTTCCTAATGTCCAAGATTATTTGTGTAACATTAATAAAAGGTTGAGGGTCAATTTAGCACAATTTAAAAGTATATGATGAACTTGCTACATAAGGCACAGCGAGATTAAAGATAAAATAAATATATGTCGATTAAAATGGCTGGAACACACACACCCATTCTTATACGAATACGAGAAATCATCCGAGTCTACAAAATGATTCGACGCCGTGATAATAATTTAGGAAGATGCGAGTGGACCAAAGTCACCAACCTAGCATAACATGGACCGATATAGCGAGGATATAAAGTTTGTCATTTGTAAAAACTTCAAGTAACTTATTCAACATTATTGACGTCAGCACCAATTTAGATGGTAATTGCATGATATTAAATAATATATTCAATTAAATGTAATGTTACACAATTCATTTAATTGAACACATCAAGTGTGGTCACCAGATTGATGCTCTAGCATATATTAAGAACATAGTTGCGAAGGGTTTATAAATAATTTAAGTAATAAATAAATAATAAATGAATATTACTTATAAATCTTTCAAAATGAGTGAATAAAAAGTGTATTTATAAATAATTTACAAACGTGAGCGAAACATAGACCAATTGCCTGTCTATGTGAAATTCCATACTCTTTTCATAGTCATCAATTTATTTTCAAAATAGCATTTTAATTAAACTTGAAAGTAATAGCAATTTTTTTATTATCAAGTCCTTATTTGGTGGGGATTAAAATCAATTTTTAATAGTTTTTGATAAAAATTGATAAAATATGTAGTTGAAAAACAGTGAATTCTATGAAATATGTGGTTAAAATTAATTGTTAATTTTAATTTTGATTAATATCTAAATTTAAATTTATACCAAATCGGGATTAAATATAAGAATTTTATTATAGAGTCCGTTTGAGCCCTATATTTATTTATTTTTATTCAAAAATGCATTTTGAAAGAGTGATTTGATAGTGAATGTGTGGTTAAAAAAAAAAAAAATTCTGAATTTAGGTGTAATATTATTCAAAAATATTTTTAAAAAATAAATAAGTAAGAAGTGCAAAAAAAATTTCCCTCTCATTTCAAAGTATTAAAATAAAATATTTTGATATAAGTTATCATCGGCAAGACATATTAATTAATAAAAAGTTAAAGATAAAAATTCGAAGGAAAAAAATTAAGAAAATAATTGCCATAAATTGAAGAGTTTAAGTGTAATTAAAATGTAATGTATCAAATAAAAATTGTTGTGACAATATAATTACCCAATCTAAAAATAATTAATCCAAAAAAACATAATTGAACCAAAAATAAAGAGAACAACACAAAAATTAAAAAAATCGAATGTCATTATTATAAATTCGCTAAGAACGGAGCCCTCTTCTGAGAAGGCAAAATATGACCGTTGGTTCGTCACTTCTCTATAAGAAGAGCGCTCTCAACTCAATTTGCCCGTTGAAAATTTTCAAGAAATCGCCACCAAAGAAAAGGAAATTTCCGAGCAATAATCAAGAGATTTTCTAGCAAATAAAGAGAAAGACATACAGAAATTCTATAGAAAGGCAAAGAAAGTTCGCACAAATCGAAGATAATTCCGTAAGTTTTCCTCTTAGACCCTGGTTTCTTGAAATAGTGAGGACTTTCTGTTGAAAAGTAGATAAGCATGTTAAAAAATTCCACGTTTATTATTTATATTCACCAGGTTTTATGCTGGAGTTCGTTTCAATAAAACCCTATTCGATATCTGATTTAATTATCTTTTTCCCTTTTTAAATTTTTTGATAAAATTTTAAAGTTTTCTTACAATTTGGGCATTCTCGAAGAACGGTTGATTCTCTGTAATTTTTCGTAGATTCAATGGGTTTTTGAATTTCGAGGTTATAGAATTGATTGATTTTTATTCTGATTTTCTTTAATTATGTTGTATGAAATGAGTATTCACTGATCAAGAAAGGTAATGGAAATTTTAGATAATGAAAGGGAAAATGTTCAGGAACGATAAAGTTAATTATTTTGAAGAAGTGACTTTTAATTAAGAAATTCACTTTTTATGTTATCACTTGAAAAAATAAATCACTTGAAAAAATAAATTAGGCAGAGAACATGAAAATGTTATACTGGTGGCGAGAGTTATTTTGGTAGCAATTCTGAGGATTTAGTTGGGCTGAGATCTAGCCATATATATCGCATTGTACTATGTACAGTATGTTCTGAAGTGATGGAATATGAAGCTGATGAAAAGTTCGACCTATGTTGGCAGCCAGATTTTTTAGTTGTGTGAATTCTTTGTGTTGTATCAAGCGATACCATTGTGGTTTACTGATTTTATAAATAGTATGACCGAGAAACAAGGTAATCTCGGGACCAGGTTTCGTGAAGAAATTTTTTGCCTATGTTGGCAACTGAAATATTTAGATGTGTGATTATTTAAGAGAATTTTCAATTTTTGCTAGTACTCTGTGTTGTATCCAGTGATAGTATTGTGATGATTTTAGATGGCATGAAATTACAACCAGGAAACAAAAGCAATTAGGCGAAAGTGAAAAATCCTTTGAGTGATTGGGATAAAAAATCCTATTTTGAACGGGACACGCGTTAACTACACAACATTGCTGCACAGATTGATACACATTGCACCTAGTATCCAATTGTTATGGCTAGGACTACTGGGGTACATAAATCTCGTTACTCAATGTCAATATTGGCCTTACAAAGTGCTTTAATTTTACTTGTTAAATATCAATTATCAATGGAAGTGACGAATGTATGTACAATCAGCTTGCATGCCTCGAAACCTCACATCTACCTTTTCCTTTGATTCCAACATAATATTTACATATGCTCCAATTGAGACTCGGTTTCTTCCGGTGCTTTCAATAACACATTTGAATGCCTGAATGTTTGAAGAATAATTCTACTTGTATATAAATCAATCTGTAAATGGTGATGTACATGTAGTATAACTGATGTTTAAACTTTAAATGATTTATCGTGAAAAATAAAGTTCAGATACTTGGCATCAATTACTTCTACAAGAAATCTAGGACTAGATAATAGTTATATTGTTTATTGGTATATCTCGGACGAACCATGTTTATATTTTTAGTTTCCTTTTTACATGTTACTAATTCAGAACTGTGTGGAATGCAGATAATTCTACTGATTTTAGCACTCATGGCAACCTCAGCTAGTCACCTGATTCGGAATCAGAATCTCAATATCTCCTCTAATGGTAATTGCTAATTGTAATCTTTGGGAGTAAAATTGTCTTTTGGTGTTTCTTGGTTAGGCATCGGCTAACATATTGCCGTCTTGTTTAGGTGCTACTCTCGGGGGTAAGACTGATGTCATCAAGGGAGATAAGAAAGGAGGGCTTGGTGCAAGAAAAGCTCTTAATGACATATCAAACTCAAGAAATGCTACCATGATCCAAACGAAGAGAGACCTCAGTGTTTCTAAAACCAAGTCTGTTGTTGGGGGGAAAGCAGGTGGTAGGAAAGCACTCAGTGACCTTTCAAACTCTGTGAAGCCACCATCCTTGCAGGTGGTTCCAAAGAAGGGTCAAAAGTTGAATCCCATCGCTGAGGAAAATGTTCCCGTTTGCATTGAGGAGGAGGGATTTCTGCACAATCATCACGAGTGCATCAAAATCCAGGGAAAGGCCATGGATGTGGATTATTTTCTGAAGTCAGTCATCGGACTAGATAATGGTAATAAAGGAGGCTACCACACCACGTTATCAACTTTATTCTTTTTGCTATATATATACACATCTCTCTATATAATTGGTTACATTTTCTGAATTCAGATATTCCTATGAGGCCATCATCTCCAAGGGCATTTGTATCGTCGTCTAAGCCAAAGGTAGGTTTCAATCATTTTCTTTCTTCTTCTTGTTTGTACAACACTTCGTCCCTTCTTTTCCAATCCTCTAGTGAATTCAAAAAAAGGCTGAATATTTTTGATGGAATCCATCATGAGTTGCGAATTTCTAGATAGGTATTCTAGATCTTAATAGTTGCTCTCGAACAATTTTACAAGATTCTCTAGAAGAAATGTGGAAGTCTTCTGCTGCTTTTGGAGGCAACTTTCTTTTCTCGTTTTTATACCTATTATATCTGGTGTGTGTGGCTTTTTCTTAGAGTTGAACATCTGATGCAGCACTTAAACAAATGTGAACTAATGGTCGACATTTCAGCTTGAGAGTCCTGTGGAGCACATGGAAATGGAGATACCGGAGCTTCTATTTGAAGATCAAGTTTCTAGTTGCCGGAAAACCAATATTCCTGGCCATTCTTCACTTTCTTGGGGATCTCCCAAATCACCAAAACTACCATTTACGGACTGGATGAACGATAGTTTTTCTGATTTCATGTTGATGGAGTCTCCAAAACTGCTGAATCCTTGAAGTTCTCCAGCAAAATCTCTACCTGATTAGTACTTCCTCAATGATTATCGATGATAATCTCTTGAGATGTAGTTCTGCCTCCGGATGAAAATAGTTATTTTCCATTTGGCCGACTATTTGTCCAAAACTATTCTTGACGTTTATGCTTGTATGTTTGGGTCGAGACAGTATAATTTCGTCTTAGCTTGTAAATCCGGATTTTATGTTTAAGTTTGAGAATTGCATGTCTCAGCAGTCTATAAAACTCAGGACTAAGAGGTGCTACAAACTTGAAATGTTGTCTCAAAAATAAAAAGATTGAGACATTCATTAAAATTATGATGATGTCTCGTTTCGGATTCAGCGTAGACTCCATAGTCAATGAAAAATCAATATATGCATTAATTTAAAATTACAATGTTTTAAAATAAATTGTGTTATTTTTCATATTCATTATATTGTTACGTTATTGATATTCCAATTTGAATGTTGATAGCAAATTTTGACGAGGATACACGGTGAAAATCATTATACTAACTACAAAATGAATGTAATTTACTAAAATTTTATCAACTTTTTAATAGGTCAAACTTCAGTTTTAACTACATGTTTCATGAGATTCAAAACTCTGATCAATTTTTCAACTATACATTTAACATTATACATCAACTTTTATCAAAATTTACTAATTTTTTTAATTCAAATCTGGTTTTGTGTAAGGGCGGATCTAGGATCAACCTTCTTTTTTTTTTAAGTCGGGCTAAAAAAAAGAGGAAATTACATTAAACAAGCTGTTTAGTTTTGACTTTTAAAAAATCAGGTTTTTACTTTATTTAATCAAAAATCAAGTTTTCATTTCACAATTAACATTAATAATAATATTTTTAAATTAAATTAAATATATACCCACCCTACTACCTATCCCACCAATTTATTTAAATATAAAACCCAACCAAAACCTAATTCATTCCATTTCATCTCTCCCATCTCTACCGCCGCCTCCGCCTCCACCGCCACCGCCCGTTCCGGCCATCGCCCGTCGCCCCTCCCCTTCCCCCTCCTCTGCTGCTGAATGGCAGTAACGTCGCTGCCGTTCAGCAGCGTCGCAGGCGCTGCAGGCTGCGCTGCTGCTGCACGGTAGTGCTGCTGACTGTGGCTGCTGTCGGATCTTTTTTTTTT